CTTTTGTAAGGAGGTGTTTGGTGTTTTTTTTTTTAAGATTTATTTATTTATTTATTCATGAGAGACACAGAGAGGCAGAGACATAGGCAGAGGGAGAAGCAGGCTCCCCATGGAGAGCCTGATACGGGACTCAATCCCAGGACCCCGAGATCAGGACCTGGGCCAAAGGCAAACGCTCAACCCCTGAGCCACCCAGGTGCCCTGTAGGGAGGTTTTTTGAAACGACATAAATATCCCATTCCTCATCAATCTTTCAGTCCATTTATTAAAATGGACTCAATATTTTCTTTCTTTTTGGGAGCAGGGGAGTCAACATTTTCTGTTTTATTTGAAAATGGTAAAAAAAAAAAATGGTTTAAAATCTATTACTGTTGGAGTGCCTGGGTAGCTCAGTCAGTTAAGTGTCTGCCTTCGGCTCAGGTCATGATCTTGGGGTCCTGGGATCTAGCCCCACATTGGGCTCCCTGCTCAGTGGGGAGTCTGCTTATCCCTCTCCCTCTGCCCCCCCCCCGAACTTGTGCATGCTCTCTCTCTCTCTCAAATAAATAAATAAATAAAATTTTTGTTTTTAAAGTGAATAAGCCAGGCAGCGCAGATGGCTCAGCGGTTTAGCACCACCTTTAGCCCAGGGCTTGATCCTGGAGACCCAGGATGAGTCCTACATCAGGCTTCCCTGCTGGGAGCCTGCTTCTCTCTCTGCCTGTCTCTGTCCCTTTCTCTCTGTGTGTCTCTCATGAATAAATAAAATCTTTTTTTAAAAAAAGTGGATAAGCCAAACTAAAAAACAATCTGTTACTGTCATTATTTTGATGCTAACATTTTCCCAGGTTTGGCCAGTGAGAGCTTATTTAAAATGGCTTCTGTATCCTTTTGATTTCCTTGCTTTTTGGCACAACAGTCAGTAGCTTAACTTATTTAACCTGCTAATAACCATTTTTGTAGCACTCTTGTCTTTTTTGGTCATATTCCAGAGTGTTTTGTTCTTGAATATTGATTATTTGAATATAACATATTTCTATAGTTTTTGACTAAAACAAATACCAACTAGATTTTTTATTATTATTTTTTTTTTTAGAGAGGGAGAAAGAGAGAGAGAAGGAAAGAGAGAGGAGGGGCAGAAGGAGAGGGAGAGAGACTCCATGCCCAGGGTGGAGCCCAACATGGGACTTGATCTCACCACCCTGAGATCATGACCTGAGCCAAAGTCAAAGGTTTAACCAACTGTGCCTCCCAGGGGCCCCAACACCAACTAGCTTTTTAAAAGTCATTTAACATATAAAAAATTATTTAACCCCAAGGAGCACTTACTTTTGACAAAAACTATAGTCTTCATATTTACTTCATCTGATTTCTATTGGGCATCAACTCTAGTAACTAAAGTAAACCTAAAATCAAAGTAGCCTTTTTCACATGGGTATTCCACTCTCTCTGCTAAACTATGGAACTCTAGAACATTCAGTTAATATATTCATTTCTTTATGCTTTGTGGGGTTTTTTTTAAAGATTTTATTTATTTATTCATGAGAGACGCACAGAGAGAGAGGCAGAGACACAGGCATAGGGAGAAGCAGGCTCCATGCAGGGAGCCTGTTGTGGGGCTTGATCCCAGGACTCCAGGATCACGCCGTGGGCCAAAGGCAGGCGCTAAACCACTGAGCCACCCAGGGATCCCCATGTTTTGTGTTTCTATTGATTATTAAGTTGCCATAAAAGCACAATCTAACAATATAAAAGAAATCTAACAATATAAAAGAAAATTTTAATACCCTCACAAATATGTCGAGATGGTATTGTATGTGAAACATTTTAATGCTAATACTTGAACAGTACCACAAACTTGAAGTGTTTCTTTTTCTTAAAAGAAATTGGCTATTTTTCTGAAGTATTTGGAATAATATTTCCTAAGTGTTTTTCCTGTGCCTTCCATTAATTTTTGTAATACTGAAATCTTTCAGTTTTTTTTTAATTTTTATTTATTTATGACAGTCACAGAGAGAGAGAGAGAGAGGCAGAGACACAGGCAGAGGGAGAAGCAGGCTCCATGCACCAGGAGCCCGACGTGGGATTCGATCCCGGGTCTCCAGGATCGCGCCCCGGGCCAAAGACAGGCCCCAAACCACTGTGCCACCCAGGGATCCCAAATCTTTCAGTTTTAAAATATTTTAAAACTTATAGCTAGCATGTTATGTTAATTGATTCAACCAGTGTATATAATATTTTTAAAAATATTTTATTTATTTATTCATGACAGACAGAGAGAGAGAGAGAGGCAGAGACACAAGCAGAGGGAGAAGCAGGCTCCATGCAAGGAGCCTGACTTGGGACTCAATCTGGGACTCCAGGATCATGCCCTGGGCTGAAGGCAGGCGCTACACTGCTGAGCCACATAGGCATCCCTATATAATATTAGATACTTTTTATCTGTGTCATTTTTGTCATTGCAGTATTATTCTATTATTCATTCATCAGTCAGTGGACTGTCACCAAGCACCAGTTACCATAATAGTGGCAATATGATAATAATAGCAATAATCCTTTACTTTTACTGAATATTCATTATTTAATTGAATTTAATGCCATTAGTTATAAAATGCACATTTTTTTTCTTTTTTGCGGTGGGGAAGGGATAGAAGGAGAGAGAATTTTAAGCAGACTCCATGCTCAGTGTAGAACCCAATGCAAGGCTCGATCTTGGGCCTCAGTCTCATGCCCTGAGATCATGATCAGGGCCAAAAGCAAAGAGTTAGATGTTTAACTGACTAAGCCACCCAGGCACCACTAAAATGCACATATTTAATATGCTGATAAGAGAGAGCACATCTTGCCCAAATAAACTATTACACACCATCTGTTGTAAAATGCACACTAACTTATAAGATGTTAAAAAGGGAAAACTATCATTTTTTGAATTGATGACATAAGGCACCTGACATGTGAATTCATTTAATTACATCAGTCCTGTGAGATAGGTGTTATCGTCATCCTCATTCTTTTTTTTTTCTTTTTAAAGATTTTATTTGGAGGGTGGGGGAGTACCTGGCTGACTCGGTCAGTAGAACATGTCGCTCTTGATCTCAGGGTCATGAGTTTGAGCCCCACGTTGGGGGTAAAGTTTACTTAACAACAATAAAAATTTTTTAAAGATTTTATTTATTTATTCATGAAAGAGAAAGAGAGAGAGAGGGAGGCAGAGACATAAGGCAGAGGGAGAAGCAGGATCGATGCAGGAAGCCCGATGTGGGACTCAATCCTGGGACTCTGAGATCACGCCCTGGTCCAAAGGCAGACGCTCAACCACTGAGCCACCCAGGCACCCCCCCCCAATTTTTAAAAAAATAATCTCTACCCGCCCCCCCCCCCACCAGAACTCACAACCCGGAGATCTAGAGTCTCACGCTCCACTGACTGAGCCAGCCAGGTATCCCTCATTCTTATAGATAAGGAAGCTCAGTCCCAGAGAGGTTATGTAACTTTCCTTAAGGTCATGCAAGTATCAGATAGATTTGAGAGCAAAGATCCTAACTCCACCTTCAACTACTACACTATACTGCCTTCGGCCAAGGTGATTAAAGGATTCACTTTTTTTTAGTAATTTATAGGAAAGGAGGAGTCAGTTTAATAATTTATGATATAATATGATAAATGCCTTATTAGAGAGATGTATAAGAGAGTATGGGGATGTAGAGGAGATGGTTTAACAGTTTCTGAGAAGGTGTATATGTACCAAGTCCTTTTCTGTCTTTCCTATGACAGGCTGATATTGTAGCTTTTCTTTTTTTTATTTTTAAGATTTTATTTCTTTATTCATGGGAGACACAGAGAGGCAGAGACCTAGGCAGAGGGAGAAGCAGCTCCCTGTGGTAAGCCCGACTGGGGACTGGATCCCAGCACCCCAGGATCACGACCTGAACCAAAGGCAGATGCTCAACCATTGAGCCACCTGGGTACCTCCCTGCTATTGTAGCTTTATTTATTTATTTTTAAAGATTTTATTTATTTATTCATGAGAGAGACAGACAGAGGTAGAGACACAGAGGGAGAAGCAGACTCCCTGGGAGGAACCCGATATGAGACTCCGTCTCGGGCCTGGGATCATGCCCTGAGCCGAAGGCAGACATTCAACTGCTGAGGTACCCAGGCGTCCCAATATTGTAGCTTTATAGAAATGTTTAGGTTCTAACCTTTCTGTGTTGCTGTGGCTTTGTTGTCATCTTTAATTCTTACTGGTGCAGCCAAAAAGCAATTCAAAATACCATTACATTCTTTAAAACACTTGTAATGTCTACACGCTATATAAACATCAAGATTCACTAGATATATCTTTTTTTTTTAAGATTTATTTATTTATTCATGAGAGACACAGAGACAGAGAGAGAGAGAGAGGCAGAGACACAGGCAGACAGAGAAGCAAGCTCCATACAGGTAGCCTGATGTGGGACTCGATCCCGGGACTCCAGGATCATGCCCTGGGCTGAAGGCAGATGCTAAACCGCTGAGCCACCCAGGGATTCCCACTAGATGTATCTTATTAAAGTGAATTTCTGGAAAAATTAAAAAGTTCAAATTAGGGGCGCCTGGGTGGCTAAGTCATGTAAGCTTCTGCCTTTGGCTCAGATCATGATCCCTGGGGTCCTGAGATCGAGCCCTGCTCAGCGAGAAGCCTGCTTCTCCCTCTCCCTCTGCCCCCGTCCCCCTGCTTGTGCTTACACACTCTTTAAAATAAATTTTAAAAAAAATTTTTTTAAGATTTTATTTATTTATTCATGAGAGACACAGAGAGAGGCAGAGACACAGGTAGAGGGAGAAGCAGGCTCCCTGCAGGGAGCCTGACTCGGGACTGGAACCCAGGTCTCCAGGATCATGCCCTGGGCCCAAGGCAGGTGCCAAACCACTAAGCCACCCAAGTGTCCTTAAAATAAATAAAATCTTTAAACAAAATTAAAAATTTAAGAAGTTCAAATTAGCCAAGTAAATGAAGTTTAAATTTAATGTTTTCACAGGTGCTGGAGAAAATTTGGAAAATACAATGGCAGCCTTTAAACAGTAAGTATACAAAAAGGTATTCTTTATAGTTTATCTTTGATGTGATGATGATTCACAAAGTGAGGATAGCATACGTGTCACATCCACTTGTGATAATTGTTTCTATTTTATTAAAATCGCTTTTTTTATTTTTTATTTTTTAGCTAGTCTGAAGTGTTACAAAGACTGGCTTCTGCATAACTGAAAAACTAGATCAGAGTTGTGGGTAATCAAAAGATACTATAGTTCTAAAGCTGAAAGAAGGCATTTGTAACAAGGAACACACTGTGTGTAATGCTAATTAGTCTTGGAGAGAAAGAGAAAAGGAGAAAATGAAACAACTGTTAACATTGGTTGCTGTTTATGAATAGGATTATGTGTCTGCCCTGTAATTCTTCTACAGACCTGAAACTGTGATCTGGTCTTTCTTGTTTGAAGCCTTATGAGTATTAATCTTATTTTTTTTAATAAGGTAAATTAGATTTTCTCTAATGTTTCAATTATTCACATTTCATATAGATCTCTTTTAGAATACCTCACAGAAAAGCAGCAGGAGAGACAGGAATGAAAGCTGACTGATACTTTGTTCTCTGTCTTAGAGTAAATGATCATCATTAGTCTGTGGTAATGGTGAGAACACTGTTTTCTTTTCCCTGAAAAATAAAGCAGAGAATATGAAAAGTTAAACCCCATGGAAGACCTTACCTTTCCATATTTAGTAAGAAAGGTATTTTCTTATATATTTGTTGAGCCATTTTTATGCATACAATTGGGGCTGAGAAATCAGAAGTTGGCTTGAGTTTTTGTTCTGTTTCTCATCATTCAAAGACACCTTAAAATTTAGGGGGCACCTGGCTGGTTCAGTTGGTAGAGCATGTGACCCTTGATCTTGGGGTTATTTTTTTTTAATTTTTATTTATTTATGATAGTCACACAGAGAGAGAGAGAGAGGCAGAGACACAGGCAGAGGGAGAAGCAGGCTCCATGCACCAGGAGCCCAACGTGGGATTCGATCCTGGGTCTCCAGGATCGCACCCTGGGCCAAAGGCAGGCGCCAAACCGCTGTGCCACCCAGGGATCCCTTATCTTGGGGTTATAAGATTGAGCCCCACGTTGAGCATGGAGAGTACTTAAAAATAACAAAGACACCTGAGAGTTTATTTTTCCTGTTATCGGGTCCAAATGTACTGTTTCTCCATATTCTAGTTTCATCTAAATCCTATTCTACTGTGCTCATCATTGCTCACTCTTCCTGTTCTATAATACAATGCCTTTGAGGCGCCTGGATGACTCAGTCGGTTAAGCGCCTGCCTTTGGATCAGGTCATGATCCCAGGGTCCTGGCATCAAGCCCTGCATGGGGCTCCCCGCTGAGCAGGGAGCCTGCTTCTCCCTCTCCTGCTCTCCCTGCTTGTGCTCTTTCTCAAATAAATAAATAAAATCTTAAAAAAAAAAAATGCCTTTGACTATAATCTCCAAATTCTCTTACAGCCCTAAAAATGCAAAACTTTCCTCCTGTCTGTGGAAAGAACTTTACAGATTCTGAAACAAAATATTTTAAATTACTTTAAGTCAAAATAAGATAAAGTATGTTACTTTAAATTATCTTCTCTGGGTAGCCCTGGTGGCTCAGTGGTTTGGCGCCGCCTTCAGCCCAGGGCTTGATCCTGGAGACCCAGGATCGAGTCCCACATCAGGCTCCCTGCATGGAGCCTGCTTCTCCCTCTGCCTGTGTCTCTGCCTCTCTCTCTGTGTGTGTCTCTCATGAATAAATAAATAAAATCTTTAAAAAATATATAAATAAATAAATAAATAATCTTCTCTGAGATCATATATATAACATCTCTTTCTCTATATACATATTATGTATTACATAAAGTATAAACCTAGATAATAAAACCAGATATATATAACATACATAATGCATATGTATAAAATTTATTTGTACAGTTTACACTGAGACACACACATACACATATGTCACCTACTACCGCTGCCATATACACTAGATTTATCAAATATTTGTTGCCTGGGATATAGTGATATATATTACCTGGGAAAAAATGCTTATAACTTTGATTTTAGCATTCTTTATACTTAAGATATATTATTTTGTAAGTTTTTCCCCATATTTTTTGTTAAATTTTTATCAACCACCTTTATTTATGAAATTAAAATACACGATTATATAATAAACTGTTTCTAAGGATGGTACATTTGTATAACAAATTATTTCTAAGGATGGTATGTAAATATTTTTATCTTTATTTTTTTTAAGAGATGGCATATACGTCGCCCTATAAAGCTCTTGTTTTTCTTTAAAGATTTTTTTTATTTATTCATGAGAGACAGAGAGAGGCAGAGAGACGCAGGCAGAGGGAGAAACAGAATCCCTGCAGGAGCCTCATGCAGGACTCTATTCTGGAGCTCCAGGATCACATCCTGAGCCAAAGGCAGACACTCAACTGCTTAGCCACCCAGGCATCCCAATATTTTTATCTTTATAAAGTTTTCATTTATTTATTTGAGAGGAAGAGAGAGAAGGTGCAGGGGGAGGAACAGATGGAGAAGCAGACTCCCCACTGAGCAGGGAGCTCAATGTGGGGCTCTATCCCAGGACTCTGGGATCATGACCTGAGCCAAAGGCAGATGCTTAACTGACAGATACTGTGCTTAAGTATGATGTATCTTTGATAGGAAGAGTAGGTGAGGGAGAGATAGTAAAAATATAATGAGCAGCTAAAACTTAGATCTTATTTATGTGCATGTGTAGAGACATTTCACAAAGCATACATATTATGAAATGGGGGTGAAGACAAGAGGATATTAGAAAATGTATAAATAGGTGGTGGCAGAAGCCTGGTTAAGATTAACCAGAAAATTGAAAAGCTACCAGGACTAGAAGAGTTATCATTTGGTATGGAGGAAGAAGCTATTTTTATTTTTATTTTAAAAATTATTTTAAGATTTCATTTATTTATTTGAGAGAGAAAAAGAGAGAGTGAACATAAGTTGGGGGAAGAGGTAGAGGGAAAGAGAGAAATAGACTCCCCACTGAGCAGGGAGCCTGCAGCAGGGCTATATCCCAGAGCCTCCAGATCCTGACCCAAGCCAAAGTCTGGTGCATAACGACTGGGCCATCTAGGCACACCAAGAAACTATTTTTAAAATGTGAAATATTGGAGGTGCCTGGCTGGTTCAGTCTGCATAGCATGCAATTCTTGAACTTGGGGTTGTGAGTTCAATCACCATGTTGGGTGTAGAGATTATTAAAAAAAAAAAAAAAAAAGGAAAAGAACATGAAATTTCTGAGATTAAGATGCAAGGGTATGTAGATGAGATATGTCTAGGAAACTGAAAGGGCTTTAGGAATGTGTGGAAAATTAATACATTATGGCAGGGCTAAAGAACTAATTAGGAGTGACAAAAATAATTGTATATCACAATTTCTTCCTTTTATTCTCTCTCTTCTTTCTTCTTTCTTTCTTTCTGTGATTCCTCTGAAAGTAAGAATCCTTCCATATTGGTCTCTCAATCCCTAATACCTAGCTCTGATGCTAATAGACTCTCACTAGTTACTTATGGAAGGAGAAATGGAATGGGCACTCAAGAACAAAGCAGGGGCACCCAGGTGGCTCAGCGGTTGAGCGTCTTCCTTCGGCTCAGGGCATGATCCTGGGGTCCTGGGATCGAGTCCCATATCCAGCTCCTTGTGGGGAGCCTGCTTCTCCCTCTGCCCGTGTCTCTGCCTCTCTCTCTGTGTCTCTATGAGTAAATAAATAAAATCTTAAAAAAAAAAGAACAAATCAGAATATCAACAGAAAACAAATGGAGGAGACCGAACTCCATCCATAAAAAGCATAGAACCAAAGACTAAGGAATTGAACTACACACACACACACACACACACACACACACACACACAGAATCACTAAGCCCTTGAGTATGTAAAACCTGGCTCTTAAGAGCTAATAAAACTAGGTTATTAAACCAGGCCGCCTTTGTAAATACCCACAGGACAATTTGATCCCTGTGGTATTAATATGAATGGTAAAAGAAACAAATTGTTTTAGCAATAGCTGGAAGTATAAGTTGGCAGACAGTCAAAGTAATTAATCAGTGACCTGGTTCTCATGATACATTTTTCAGAATATCTAATTAATAGAATACTAATCTCTCATCTATGAAATGGGACTAATAATAAACCCAAGTAATGCAAGGAATAAGTGAGATTCAAATAAATTCCTTAATATAGGGTCTGTTATTTATTTATTTTTGGACTTACTATTTTTATTTTATTTTTTTCCAAATTTTTATTTAAATTCTAGTTAGTTAACATATAGTGTATAGAGTCTGTTTAAAATTATTATATATTGCTTCTGTGGAATTCAAGTAATTTCACATCTTTTAGAGCTAGAGTTCTTATTTCTTCTTCTGTTAATATCAAAGCCTTGGTTCCTTTTTTCTGTTTGTAATCAACTTGTCAGAAAGTCAGCTATATTGGGGCATGTGAGTGGCTCAGTTGGTTAAGGATGAGACTCTTGATTTCTACTCAGGTCATGATCTCAGGGTTATGAGATGGACCCCAGCAGGCTCTGTACTCAGCAATCTGCTTGAGATTCTCTCTCTCTCTCTCTCTCTCTCTTTCCCTCCTCTACCCTCCCCCCACATGTGCCTGTGCTTGCTCCTTCTCTCTAAAATAAATAAATAGGGATACCTGGGTGGCTCAGCGGTTAAGCATCTGCCTTCGGCTCAGGGCGTGATCACAGGGTCCTGGGATTGAGTCACACATGGGGCTCCCTGCGGGGAGCCTGCTTCTCCCTCTGCCTGTGTCTCTGTCTCTCATGAATAAATAAATAAAATCTTTAAAAAAAATCTTTAAAAATTCAGCTATATTTAAAAAAATTCAGCTATAAAATATCTGGTGCTTCAATTGAATTAGATGCATATTGTTATTTATGGAAAATTTTGAAAGCCAAAGTGATTTTAAAAATTCCCTTTTTCTAGCTATTTGTGTTTCAA